TATGAAAAACAACAACAAATTGGTGTGATAAATTCCAAAAAGCATTGATAAGATGCGATAAATTTTCAGGGCTCATTTAAATGTTGGATTTGGTAAAATTGAGTTACAAAGTTATATACATATTTAAAAAAAAATATATATATAAATAAAATATATATTTAAAATTGTTGACATAAAAAATATATATGAAAGGGGGTGGTAATCACAATTATTGAACATTTATAATTAATCAATTTTTTTAAATGTTGAAGTCAATATTTTAAAAATGGTTTGGAAAGATTTTAACTTTTAGATATCTTTAAACTAACTAAGGCTCAAAAACATATTTTTTTGCTATGATAATCTTAAATTCTATTCTATAGCTATAAATAAAATATAAACGAATTCAAATATCAAACAATTTTTGTACCCCACAAAAGATAAACGACCCTTTGAAATTATAAAAGATAAATATTACTCTCGCATCTGTCAAGTAGTTTTAAGCAGAAAAAACCTAAAAAATAAATTAAAATGTGTGATTGCATAACTGTTCTTCGCACGCGTAATTTTTCACCTTCTGGGAGCCACAAACTACAAATCTTTTATTTTTTTCTGCCTGCTCCGAGAGTTCTTCCGTTGAAACATTCATGACCAGATGTAGTCCCATGTAGATCAGATTAGATAACTGGCCTGCGGCTACCTCAAGCTGCTTATATAATCAAGCTGAAACGAAAGGCTTATATCATCAAGCTGCCAACTTGAAGCCCTTTGCCTAATTGAGCAATAAATAAATTAGAACTAATTACGCCCATTGTCGATGGGTAAAAAGGGTTTTACGTTAACTTTAGCGGGAGTCTCCTTTTTTTAGCCATTCAATTTGAGTAGAATTATGGCAATCAACTGGCCAGCAGTTACATTTTAGCAATTCTCGATGGGTTTCCGGGGCCACAAAAGCTTTTAGGGCTAATGGGTTGGGTATTTCGTTCCCTGCTGATTTTCAAGTTGCTACCGGTTGCCGCTCTGATTCTGGGACTCTTGATTGAAATCGAGGCTTTCATCGGCACATAATCATCGTAATGATGATGAGATTTCCTCCATCCGTTCGTGCCTCTCGATTTAGCTGTACTTTTTTGGCCAGATGGGCTAAGTTGCTTGGCCAAAAAGCCAAGCACCGCTACCTGCACTCAGGCACTCAAGACACTCAAGGCACTCAAGCTCCCAAGTTCGAGCTCTCGACTCGAGCTCAAGTTCTTTTGTCTAGTGAAATGTTGAAAGCATCATTAATTTTTTTTCGTCTCTCTTGATTCCGACTTTATGCCTTTAGCTTCGCCTCGCACATAGTTGCAGGTAAGTATAGTATGATAATTGCGGAATGAAAGGAGAGAGAAAGATTCACTGAAAAAAAGTGACCCATAATTACCCGGGCACCAGAACAATCATGGGAAAACTGACTGTAACTTGGCTCGGTCCTGGACTCGGTCTCACCACCACCCCCTCCGCCCCCTTTCTGTGTCTCTGCTATGTCTCTTATGAAGTACAATTATTTAAGCAATGCTATGTTTTATGATTATCTTGCCGTTTACACAACACGCACAATAAAAACCAAAACGAAGAAGGAGGGGAATTAAAGTCAAGCCATATTTTGGGTCTGTGTTTCCGACTGGGAGATACCCATAGATCTCATTTTATGTCATGTGCAGGCTATTAAAGCCACTTAACAGACAGACTATATTCAATATACTACCCAAGCATATATTTATTTCACCTCAATTTATAAATATAAAGAAAAGAATTAAATTACAATCTAAAATTAAGTAAGTAGTTAACATAGCACTACATAAAAACACTGAAAATAAGTTACAAAACTACACCAATTAAAGTGGAATTTTTAATCTTTTTTGATCCAAAATATTTTATAGCTCTATTAGATATCTTATCCTTTGTCTTCATAATGTAAACTGCTGTAATATTGTATAGTATTGTTGTTATATATTATATAAGGGAGTATAATTAAATAAAACTTCAAAGTAATTTTACAAAAAAAAAATTGTAAAGATTGTAAAGAAGAATTAATATTCAGTCGACCATTTTTAAAGAAAGAATTAATAGTAAAACATTTCGATATCAATTAGTGAGATTAAAATAAATAATAAAATAAATGTTTTAGTTGTCGGTTTGGATAGCAGCTTCTTTTGTAGCAAGTATCTTTTAGAATCCAGCACACTCTTCAGACCAAAGGGTATATAGGATAGTGCACCCCAGAATTCCAGTTAAAAGCGAACAATCTCGGCAGGAGCAGCAGCCGAACCGATCAGGGGTCATTATTCCGGGCCCAGTTTTCACTGCCAAGATAATAGTGTTCATTACATCTCGGGTCTCTGCTCTCGGGGCAATTTGATTTTTTTATTACCGCCGCCGTTTGCCGGTCCTTTTGTCCCTGTTTATTTTTTTTTTTGTCTTTCGGTTTTTGTGAACCATCCAAAGAACAAGTGCAGCGGCAAGTGCAGCTACCTTTATGAGGTTTTTGTCGTTTTAGTGGACCGGCTCTGGGTACCCTAACCTATGCTAATTAGAGCGACGGCCTCGGCCTTGTTTTTATGCGCCTCTTAGCGTGAACCGTCCGCTGATTCTCCCTTTTCGGTGCCCCTCCCCTCCCGGTTGGTGCATAAATTTTCTGCTTGACGTCAGCATGAATGTTTAATTAATGCCGCGACCAACTTTCATGGGAAAATTTGCAGCGGAACAAACGGTTAGCCGGAAATTGGGAATTGGGTCCTGCAACTGCCGATTTGAACTTGCTTGCGTTTTTTTTTTTTTTTTCGTAAATTCCGTTCTTTATTCATTGTTTTATTTGCGTGCAACCGCAGGACAGGTGGGCAGTTAGTACAGGTGTTCACTTTTGGGAGGAGGGTGTAATGCCGCAAACAATGCGTGACGCTGAATCAAATTTGCTGCGACTGCAAGCCGTACTGTACCAGAAAGGTCAGATAGGTGACCATTGCTGAGAGAAAGAACAGGGTCAGCTCGTTGGAGACCTCGAAGAGGCCCAAAGGACACACCCGCAGTTCCTGGCGGTGGAGGTGGCCCAGGAAGAGCTCCAACTGGAAATGTGAAAAATAATTCATCTGGATTATAGGGATAAACAAGGTCATTCCTAAGTAAAAGAGTAAATTTTCAGAATTTAAAGATTTCAATTCTTTCAGATGTCAGGAAAATTTTTGTACTATCATGTTAAGAAATGTATAGTTTGGAACCAAATTAACAAATAATATTTTTATATCAATAATTTTTTAAAAATATTTTTTAAGTGTTTAGAATTACTGAACAATTTACGGAAATATACTTAAACTAGTTAATATATTTATAAGATTAAAAGCCATATATGTACATATGTATATATCAAGGAAATGATTTATTTGTTGCACCATTATCTTAAGAAATGTTGTTTTGAATTGAACAACTTAAAACGTACTTCTTAATAAAATTCTTGGTAGTGTCTTAATTTCATAAACTTAAAAGTAATTTTGTACCTTTTGATGGCGCTTCTTGCTTTCAGTCACATAGTAGTTCTCCAGACTCAGTCGTTTTACCAATCGAGACCCACTAACAGCTGAATGAACAGACATTGTAAGCAGCACCACATCCATGAGCAGTTTGATAACCAAACCCCAGATATTGAAAATGTATTGCCGTCGCAGAATGGCATGGTAAGAAATCATGGCCATGGCAGAATGGCTTTGGGCCAAGGTGAGAAAAAGTGGCAGATCGAAAAGCCGCTGGAATTTCCGAGACACCTGGTGGATCTCCTCATAAAGATACAAGCACTTATCCAAATTCGAGATGGCTTCAAGAGTTGGCTGAGACTTATCTTCTTCCAGAGCAGTTAGTTGGACTTTCAATTGACAGTCCACATAGTCGTTTAGGTCCTTGTAAAGGAGTCCAATGCTGAGGTAGCCAATAAAACACAGATGCATAATCATGCCAGTGCTAACGGAGGTGTAGAAATCGCACAGCATAGTGAGAAGTATCCAGGGTGATAACATTAAACGGAAGGCAAAGAATACAAAAAGTAGGGAGATCACTTTGAAGGACATCAAAGCCAACTCATGACTGCCACCGAAACCATTTTTTTGGGAATTTGTTAAAACTCTTAGACGGCGAAAGAGCTGTAGAAATCGGTTGAGCAAAAGAAGTAACTCATTGCCAAACCATAACTGCAGCACTAGGATAATGGCACTGCAGATCACACATCCCAACAATCGAAGAATGTAGAAAGCTCGAAGATACCAATCGGCGAATTGGCCAGCCCATGAGTCATAGCTATAGACGTAAAAACAACAGGCCAGAAGTCGAAATCCCACACAGAACCACTGAAATCCCCGTCGACTGCTGGCCACCAGATGCGAATCCTTTCTTTCAATTCGAAAGGTTACAACTCCAAAAGCCGTGCCGTATTGAAAATATATGCGAAGCAGCAGCTCAGAAATCCTAGAAGCGTTTAAACAGCGCCATATTCGCGGCATGACTAACATAACTTCAACCGGCAAAGCCATCAATATATTTTATTTACCCATTAAGTAATTAGTTTGACGATTGGCTGAGCAGCCAGTCAGCCAAGCACTTGTTGACCCCTATCTGGATTTCATTTTTAATTTAACTAATGACAAACATGCCAGTTTATTTAATTGGTTGATGGGGAAGTTATTATTACAAGAAAAAGAAAATATTGGAAAATAATGTTTAAGGAGTCTAGTAAGTTTTTTTTATTAAAATTATTATAATTATGCAAACCTAAAAATATCAGTTTAATCCATAAAAAAATCAAACATTTTAATTTAAAACGAATTTTTTAGTTATTTAATGTACATTTAAAGTTCCAAATTTAGCTATAATTTAATTTACCAGCAAATTGTTAGGTTAAGTGATAAAGAAATATATAAACATTTTATTGTTATATGTTCAGCTTTTCCAGCCTGGCAATAAGAATTATTTAATGCTTAAGTGATTTTTTCTTGGTGCATTTACAATCGGTTGGTTTGAATGCCGTACTGCACCACATAGGTAAAATAGGTGATCATGCTGGACAAAAAGAACAGGATGACTTCGTTGGAGACTTCGAATAATCCCAATGGTCTGACTCGGAATTCAAAGTTGTTCAGGCGACTCAAGAACATTTCCCACTGTTGAGCAACATAAAGACAAAGATAAGTATTAGATCGAGGATGATGAGAGATATCCAACCTTCATGTGCCACTCCTTGCAATCACTGATGGGGCAGTTCTCGAAGCTCAAACGCCGCACCACTCGGGAGCTACTGACCGCCTCATGAACCGCCAGGGTGAGCAGTATGACATCGGCAAAACTCTTCATCACCAGACCCCACATTTCGATCTTACTGGGATATAGCTCGGATCGAATGATCACCTCGTAGGACAGAACTATGGTGGCAAATATCTTGCCAATGAGTATTATGAGAACGGGCAGTTCGAAGAGGCGATGAAATGAGCGACCAACTCGTCCGATATCGTCGTACACGGAAATACACTCGTCCAGGCGATTCTCAACGATCCTCAGTTGGCGGCGACTTACAGGACCTCCGCCTATACGTTCCAAGGATCTCAGCTGCCGTCGCAGCTCAGAACGCACCAATTTATTCGCCTCGGAGTACAGAGCTGCCACAGTGAGGTATCCAAGGAAGCCAATATGGAGGATCATCAGGGAGCCAATTTCCAGGATTATTTCACCCAGCATGGTCAAAATACTCAGCCAGTCGGGTGGATAATACAGCTGCCACAGCTCACAATACAGTTCGTAGACCAAGCAAACAGATTTGACCAGTAGCATGAAGAACTCCCTTTTACCTCCAAAGCCAATTTTTTTCACGGACGACAGGCGACGAAGACGTTGAAAAAGCCTTAGGAAACTATTAAAAATCCGGAGCAGTTCCTTTTCATAGCCAATCTGAACCACCACAATGCTGCCGGAGCAAATGAGACTGGCCGACAAGCGGAGGCACTGGAGCAACCACTCGTAGGGATCCTGGATTTGGGCGACATAAGGGGCACAGAAACAGCAAACCATTGTGGCGCAAACGAGTCGTAGACTCAGGCAAAACCACTTGAATCTGTGCTGATTCCGACCCACCAAGGACCTGTCCGAGATCCTTTGTCCAATGTCAAAGCAAACCACTCCCAGGACTCTGGCATAGTGGTAACTGCAAAACAGGATAACCGCCGAGAGAGCTGGCAGGCTCACTTGCTTACGACGCCCAATCATGACTGAACATCCACTTGTCTTTTACTATATCATAGCTCATTCATATATGTTTTCTTTTGTTTATTTTAGTAGCTTACGTATATGTTGTGATTCCAGCTTGAATCAATAATGCTAACATGATTAGGTATAACTCTAACATTGACATTGTTTAATCAATTAAGTGTTCAAAATGTTCGATTTAGCTTGACACAAATCATATATAACATAAAAGTAATTTTAGTTTAATTAATATTATGATATTTAAATAGTTAAAAAGCAATAAATTCAAAGTAATAATCTGCAATAAAACTTTTTCGAAAATTGTCTTCCTGTTGCAGGAATTATATAATATATGTCGGAACGAGCCGGATCGGACGACTATAGCATATGGCTCCCATAGGAATAAAAAAGGAAACAACATTTTAACTTTGCTGCTTTTTTTTCTGAATCATTGGAACAATCATAAATATTACAAAAAATAAAAGATAAAAATTATACATTTTTTAATATTTAATTTTTCATTTCGATTCTTTTAGACATAGTTTATGGTTTAATGAAAAATTCAGCTGAAAATAATTATAGCTTCAATGATTTTTAACATATACGCATATAAATCTAAATTAAGATGTTTAAAAGACTAATTTATTTTTGCAATAGCTGCAGGGTATATAAACTGCGGCTTGCCGAAGTTTACTTCCATTCTGGTAAGGATACAAATTAAAATCATGTTCAGTTTTTGCTTTTGCTTATAATTTTCTTAATGTTAGTTTTTGCGAAACTGGATTACACTTTGAACCACAAAAACCAAATAAGTAACCATTCCAGATACAATGACGAGGAATTGTTTGTTGGAGAAATCAAAAAGTCCAAGGAGACGGACCCTAAACTCGTTTAGGTTTAGATGGGTCACAAAAATTTCCACCTACCGCCAAAAGACAAAATGTTTAGAGTTGCGATTTAATTTAAGAAATTAACTCACCGTTTTAATCCAATCTTTTGACTCGTCGACTAAGCAAATATCCAAAGTAAGTTCTCGAAAAGATCTAAATTGATCGGCTACGTTTTGAGTGGCCAAACTATAAATAAGCAAATCGATCATAATTTTAACAAAAAAGAGCCATAGTTTAATCTCAGAGAACTGCAAATCATTTATCATTTTGAAAGAGATCGTTACTATTTGAAAAAGACTTTGAACACCGCTCAGAAATAGATGAACACTGGAAATGTCCTGCAAGGAAGTGACCACATAAGTAATTTCTCTACAAAGCGACATAGTTCTCTTCAATCTTTGCGTTTTATTTATCTGGTGACGTGAATTTTGATACCGTTGATTATTTTTTAAGCACTCGATTTGAAGATTTTCACTTAAGTTGGCACAGAGAACACCCAAGCTAAGATACCAAATAAAACTTATACGCATAAACGTATTGCTGGCAATAATAACATATGTGTGACTGGCAAACACGACCATATTTTCTAGACTGAAAGCCCAATGAATCATTCCAAACAGGAAGACTATTTCCTGAATTTGACAACCAACCGAAAGAAGGATCAGCAAAAGCACTCGTCTGCCTCCAATTGACACTGATATCCGATTAGCCTTCGGGTTTACCTGTCGAAAGATGTCCAAATATCGATTGACCAACTTGGACACCTTTGAACCGTGGAAAATATTCAAGTAAATCATCGACGTGTAGCAGGAAACCGAAAAAACAAGGCGAGTTGCTTGCAGAATTTGTTCAATTAATAGTGTTTTGCGCGATATAAACTCAGCGAGAGTAGAAACATATATGCAAAGAGGCACGAGTCGCAAAATAACCATGAAACACTTCCACCAGGGACGATTGTTCCAACTTTCCTCCATGACCATGACATTATTCTCCAGGTTTCTAAAGCGGAAGCAGATCAATCCAGTCCATTTAGCGTATAGAAACATGAAGCTAAGAATTCCGGCGGATAATTTTGATGCATCCATCATCGAGCTTGACTTGTGTGCTGTGGACACCGATTGAAATTGAAAAATGTTCTAAGTCCTTATGAATGCATTTTGCTATTGGAGTGACAAGTGGGCGTGTTAAAATTTCTTGGCAGGTGATGATAAACTATAAATAAAAAGTATTGACATATTAAGAAATTAAATGTTTCCCTGACAGCTTACTTGAATGGATCTATAGCTCAATAAGTCAATTAATATGAGGTCCTTAATCGAAAAATATTTTAAATAAATAAATAAAAAAAAATATTTTAAAAAATGATTTTAATTTTTAACAAACAGGTGGTTAAAAATTTCACTTTTAAGCGGAGAGTTCTTAAGCCATTATACAACAAATCAACTGAATGATACATCTACGAAAATAAATTAAAACTAATTAAATTTAATTATACCTAAGCTCAATTTAGTCTAATTAATTTTATTTTAACTTATTTTAGTTAAACAAGTAAAAGACAGTAAAATCCAAATTAAATATTTCCCATCTGTATTGCACATTTCTGGACCACTAAATTAAAATAATAATAAAATAATCAGCAATAGCTCAATTTTCTTCCCTTAGGACAATGCTTATTACCTTGGGGCCGTGAAAAATCTGCTGGTGGTGCATCAACAAATATTGTACGTTGGTATCGTAATCATAATGTATGCGCTCTCTATAATTGTGAACATTTCTACAGTATTTGGCACAAAAAGGCATAAGTCTCACTTGACTGTTTGGCTTTCAACTTCAATTAGAATGAATTCGAAATTCAATTCAACAAATTAGGGCAAACTTATCTTTTGAAACGATCTTTGGATTATAACTCAACTGTCAAAAAGATATTATATATGTGTACTTAAAATTCCCTTGGGCGGGGCATCTCCCTACTATTTTTTGACCTTTTTAATTAATTTGCTTACACTGGTAAAATAACTAAGTATATCCAATATTTTAATTTATTTTTTTTGCTATTTAATATTATGATTTAATATTTAGTTATATAATTATTCCATTTTTTTTATGAGTATACACACAACTTTTAAGGAATTTAATAGCTTAAATTTTCCTTACATTTTCCACATTTTCAACATCTCAATAACAAGGCACCACGTACTCATTTTGAGATCACGTTTCTGAGATCTACGAATACGTACATATAGTATATTAGGTTGGCCCTTCTCAAGACCCTCAGTCGAAGTTGGCCTGCTCATCTCTCACTTTTGCTTTTGATTCACACGCTCACGATCCCAGAAGATGGGATGATGGGATGCGATCCTGGCTCTAAGCTCGCTTCCCTAAAAGGCAATGTAAATGACGCCCCCATTTCATGCTGTACGTGATCTTCCCATCCGATATCTTGTGAGCCACATCGCCGCTGTTTCACTGTCCTATCCGAAAACTGGGCACGATTACAGCGCGCAGCGATTTGCGTCCGCATCTGAGAGAGATCTTTCAAGTCTGTCAAGCAGGGAATCCCCCCATCCCCCCTCAAGTTGCCCCCACCCACGCCTCCCCTATGGGATTTCGCCTTTGTCTGACATTTGAAAAGAATTTTCACGTTGTATGATTTATTTTTTCCCCTCATCTTCTTTATTTTCTGTTCGCTTTGGTATTTTTTCCTTCTTTTTTGTTTTTTTTGTTTTTTTTTTTTTTTGGAGGGCAATTACAGTAACAACGCTTGGGCACGTACATTTTCCGGCATTGTACGAAAATTGTGGGAACAATCAACGAAATAAACAAAAGTGCTTTGCATGCCGTTGATTTGTGCTGCAAATTGCCCCGGACTTGGCCAACTGGCCAATTGCTATGGCCACAACAGGCAGCATCAACCACAGTCGGAAACCAAGTCTATCTTATCACACCGAAGACGCAAATGCCTTTGGCATTTTTAGTCAGTTTAAAATCATTATTTATAGTTATATTTTCTATTGTCTTTAGAGAAATGAAGATGTTAATTTTGAGTACGAATTTTTAAACATTTCTTCAAAGTAAGAAATTTTTTCACTTGTCACTGATTAGTATGTTTGCGTTTATCAATACTCCAAAATCATAATTTCAGCAGACTTTGATCAGAGAACATTGCAATTTGTTTGTAACTTTGTTTAAATGATAAAGCTACATATTAAATAGGTACGATGATTATGCAATCCTTGAAAGTGTAACTTCAAACGTATGCGACAAATCAAAGTCTCTGATGATCATCAATGCATTATTGAAAGATTGATTTCGTCTTATAACTTTTTTTGATCAATATGTGCCATATGGTAACATGCTGAAGCAAACGTATTATCCCCTTTCCTGGAAGGGTATTGGAAATGATCCGAGTCGAGTGAGGTTAAGGAAACGATGCAAAGCCACAAGTTGGTCAGGAGATTAGAGCAGTGGCCGAGGAATCAGCTCCACTGTACCCCATTCTCCTCCTGCCTTTTTTTTTTGTTGCCCCTTTGTTGACCTCACGTGCGAGGGAGAGGGCTGATTGCTGAGCGAGAAGGGTAGAGGGGGTGGGTAGTGGGGAGGGGAACTCAGTTCAGGGCTGATTGATTTCAATTTCTGCCTCGTACGATTGTCGAATGGCCTTGGCTCGCTTTTCACGCTTTTCCAGACATTGCACCCCACTCGACTGCAGCCGCTGACATTAATGGTGATTAATGCGAAAACGGAATGCAATTAAATTCCGCCGTTTGGCCGTGCCATAAATTATTGAGATTTTGCAGCGAACAAAAAGTCAAATAAAATGTGAAAGCAAGCATGAATAGAGCAACAAAATACTTACAAAAATGAGACACCCTTTTTTCTTTTTTTTTGTTTTTTTTTTTAATGGCGCTGACTTAGCAGTACCGTTATGGACAACCCATCGACGTCATAAATTTAACTTTGCAGCTTTGAATTTATTGCGTGGCGAATGCAAAGAAAAACTCGATTCGCGAATTGCGAATTGCGGCCAACGCGACTTTGTCGAGAGTACAAACACCTCTGCCAAGTTCCCACTCTACCTCTCTCTTTTCCGCTCACTCAGCCCACAATGACGGTGAGAATAATAGCTCTTACAGTTAAAATCGTATCTTACGAAGGCCCAAGAACAAGTACATAAAAGTATCTATTGGTATATCTATCTATTTCCTGGACAAACTGTCTTTTTTAGTTTTTTTTTTTTTAATTTTGTTATTTAAACATTGAAGTTTTGAATTATTTATTCAGATATAAATAAAACCAATAAGTTTAGAAGTTATTTTAAACAAGGCGATTTGCATTAACCAAAGTATTCATTAGTATTCTCAGTTCAAAATTTTTGTTATCAACAATTATACTAAATTTCGCTAGAATTCTAAACTATTTACACAATTGCAATGAATAATAAATCTATGTTATTTAAGCTTATTAAAAAAAAAAACATTTTATGTCTTGAAAACATTGATTTGTAATGTGGCAATGGAAAGTCCTAGCTAAAAATCTAGTAGTGTGTTCTATATAACAACAATTTTAGATAGATACATTCGAGATCGTCGCCGTTTATTGATATCACCTCGAGTGCTATTTATTCATCCAGAATTGTACGCCTGGGCTTTGTTGCGTTACGTGAATGCGAATGCGTGTGTGTGTGACTGCGATGCCAGTGCAGAGCCATTAAAATCTTGAAATTGCATGCTAATAACCGTACCAGGCCGCTAGTTAAGTGGGCAAATATGTTGTACATGCTTGTTACTAAATGCAGAGCATGTAATTTGGTTCTCTGCCAGCAGTGGCATTATTATTGCATATTGCATTCTTGATTCGCTCAGGCAACATCAATGCAGCCTAACATCTAGCATATTTATATGTATGCATTTATAGTTGGTTTTCTTTGGTTAAATATTCAATACACTTTATATTTTGCCAAAGATAAAAAAAATGTACATTTAGGAGAATTAACCTCAAAATGATCGTAGAGTTTACCATGTCACAATGATGTAAATGTATCAAAGTTTATCTTAGGATAATTCCTCTTGATACTTTGAAACACTTGTTAATCTAACTTATAACACTTTCTTGAAGGGCCTATTTTACAAAGTTACGTTAAGGCTCGAGTTTTTAACCAGAGAAAGTTAACATGTCGGTGTGATGTTAATTTTCTAAGCGACAAACCTGAAAAAGACAAAAAGGCTAACTTTTCTTTGTGATTTTTGTTTTGTCTACTGCCAGGTTTTAACTATAAATGAGCTATCTGATGATTAACTTAATGTCAAAGAAAAAAAATTTAGAAATAGGCAATAAGTCTTTAAAAAAAAGCTTTGATTTGCTTTCTGAAAAAATACATTTAACAATGTTTCTGTAGGTTTGGAATCCGCATCCGTTTGATTAAGAGTATGTAAGAGGGGTAAATGAGGACGGTGACCAGCATCAATCATCATCAGTCGCCCAGCGATCGTTTGTTCGCCGGAAGTCACAGCCAATCTAATGTTAAGTGCCCACTCCACTCCACTAGCTACATAGATATAACACACATACGTGTAGCACACAAATTACGACTAGAAAGCATTTTCCGAAATGTCCGCGGGCCATGTGTGCCCATTGAAAGACCCACAAGATCCACAGTGAAGCCTCTCAATTGGTACGGGTGATTAGCGATGAAAGCGAATAGAGGAAAACACACTAATTGGAGAAGGTTCGACTTCCTTTCCACTTCACTTTTTGATTGCATACAAAACCTCTGCATCGAATAATTAGAACAGAGGGGCCTCGATAAATAGATTTGAAATACAAATGATTTACAAATTAATACTTTTAATGAATTCATTTTTATATAATTTAATATTACTTACAATACTTTTTAAAAATCCCCTTTAAAATAAGAGATTATTTGATGAATTATGAAATTTAACCTCTGTTCCAAGTATTGCCTTTATACATAAAAATTATTTTAACAATAGATCTTAACATTTCTGGGACTTAAAAGTGATTTAACCATATTTGAAATGTCAAAAGTGGCGCCATTGTTGTTCCAAAGATTGTCCGATTACTTTGTTCATCCCAACTAAGGCTTCACTGTAAGTGGAAATAAATAAGCGGCCCTTGTCTAATGGAGAAACTGTTGCATCCGCAGCTCGAGGCCCAAACGCTGAGTCATTCCATCTATTTATTTTTATCTTTCTCCACTTGTGTGCCACAACTTTTCTTTACGCTTGAGAATAATCGCGCCATCTCGGCCCAAAAGGGCCCCTAGAAACAATTCAACCAAACAGCCAAAGTAGGCAAATAAAAAGCTTTTAAATGTTTTTTGTTTTACATTTGTATTTTTAAGAGTTTTTTTTTCATATTTTGTGTTTTTTACTGTTCCTTCTCGCTTGAGAGGTACAGTAAAAAAGTTTTTTTTTCTCATCATGTTTGCATAAGTTTACAAAGTTTTAAGGAAATATACACAGTATTTGTTTTTGTGGTTTTACTCAGTTAGCTGCTTGGAGTTTGGTACTGCTCCATACAATATACACAGTTTGGTTGTTCAAAATAGATTTTTAAAGGGGTCTTAGAGGAGGGGAAATAATTTTGCCATAGATACGAAATATTATACATAGACAGTACATACAATTTAAAATGTCACATCGATAATGTACATACTATAAATATGAGTTTAAAGTGTGTGTAAAAGTGTGTGGGAAGGTGTGTAAGGAGGGGTATGAATGAGTGTGTGTTTTTGTGTGTGGGCTAAGAAGAATTTTTAAATAATTTCAATTATAATTACATTTAGATAAACAAAATAATAAAATTGTTTTTAATGATTGAGATCATGACACAAAGTAAATTGTAAATACTTTTGGCACACGCGTGCATCAGGAACCGAAAACACGCTGAGAACGCTTGAATTGGTTTGGATTGGGGGTAAGAGTCTATATACCGGATGCATGGCGCCGATCGCTTGTCTAAAATTAGCATTGTCTAATTACAATTTAATCTAATTCGTAAATCTGCCACTAACAATTTAAGTCTTTCACTTTTTCGCTACAATTTACGTATTGCCAATGTACAAATAATTTTCTTTTTACACGTAAATATTTAACATACACATATCTATAACTTAATAATTTCCATAAATATATCGATATCGCCATGCATCCGGATGTATTATTATTATCATTATTATTATTATTTTTTGCCTGTTTTTGGCCGTGCACGCGCGCCGATCTTTTCTGGTTTTTCATTTTGTTGTTGTTTCTGGTTGGCTGTTTTTTTCATTTTTCATTTTTTGTTTCGCTTTCTCATTTTTATGCAACAACATTTTTTGGGACCGTCAAGTCTTGGTTTAAACAAACGTACAATCCATACACAAAAGTTTCTGTGCATGGGGGAGGTACACAAAAAAAAAATAAACAAATTATGTTAGAAATTAAAATTACGTTTCCAATAAATATCATATATTGCAATTGTTGCTCCACCAGGGGCCATTCGTCATTGTCCTTCTCCAAAATTACTGCTCCTTATCTTCCAATTCGCTAGTATTATTATCCACATGATTATTGTTGATGATGCTCTTGTTGTTGCTGATGTAACTATTCTTGCCGCTTTTCAAAATCCCCTTGTTGTTGGCCTTGCGAATGCGGTATATGCCTGCAACGATAAGGAAAAAAGGGGTAAATGTTTAGTATAGTGAAATCGTGCAAAATATACTGTGACTAATCACAATGCAATATGAAAATGGGAAAACAAAAATAAAAGTGCCAGCGTCATTTTTGACCTTCAGAAGGCAAAAGGGAAAGCAAGCAATGCAAACGTGGTGCAGCGAATCTAATTACTTGGGGTACTAGTACTACCACTGCATACGTGTCAGTGGGTGTGTTTTTCTTGGTCAGCGTGTTCTTATCTCCCCGGAATTATGCACACTTGTGCAAGCTGAAATATACAGAGAGTAAAATCCTACGGAGAATAAACCTATACCTGGTCATTGGCTGGCCGATAAATAAATGTCATGGCCACAGCGATAGCTGCAATCGAAAAAAAACTGCAGCTGTGCCAATGTCTAGGGGTGTATGGGGCTACATACCAGGGTAATCTATACTATACAGAGGCGAACGTTCGTCTAACGTTAAATGCGTTCTCATCGACAGATAGCCAAATGGCACATCAACCTCACAAGTTGTTGATTTTTAAGGTACAGGCACAGTCTATATAAAACAATTTGAATTTCAAAACGGAGCCCTGCATGAATTTTATTTAAACTAATGTTCATAGACCTAAAAGAAAGATCTTATGTTTTTGTATGCTAACAATTTTTCAACAGATTATGAAATCCACTACTCCTAAGCCTTTCTAAATTTTAATTTCACAATTCCGGTATTTGCGTAACAAAAAATGCACAAATCAAATGTCATATGTCATTTCTATCAAAAGACCTTGAAGTTTTTAAAATTTTGAACGATTAATATTTACTGAGAAGCCTAGTTAATAAACCAGAAATAAAGGAAAATCTATTTGGAAATGAAACGAAAATAGTATTTACGCTAGAGAAGTTCGACTGTACTTCTATCAAGTCTAGTTCGCTAGCAGCTGCGGTTTCCTCATCACGTAAACCGCTAAAGCTTAGACGATCGTTTGGAGACGACGACGATCATCAAACCGCAGCCACTGCGCAGTGACCTAAAAGCTGAAAAGCCGCACAACAGCAACAAAAGCGGGGAATACAAAAACAAGAAAGCCTCAAATCTAGCTTAGAAAACCGAATACCTAAGCACCCTTGCAATTCAGTTCGTCTATTAGGTATAACAAAAATATTAATCTTTATATTTCCGTTTTCTTTGAAATATTCAACACAATTACACTTTTTATATACATATTTAAGTTGAGTTCTTATACTCAGTAACAATTAATTTAACAATAAAAAGGTATAAGTTTCTCTCAACATATTTTAGTAATAATAATAACTCATAGTTTGGTAAGGGCGAAACGAAAATGAAATGGTAAACCTTTCTTTGGGGGCGTTACAAAAGTGGGGCCGAAACTTAAAAGCCTCAAGAAAGAGAAGGGAAATCGCTGGCAGCCAAAGAGTCGCGCGCTGCCGGCGATATAATCAAATTTACAGTTATAGAAAATTATAAGCCAGCGACAAAGAACGTCAAGCGAAACGGAGGCAAAGAAGAAGAAAGATGGGGGAAAACGGCAAAAAAAAAAAGTGATCGGTCGTTGTAAAGAGCAAGTGGGGAGAAAGAGGAAGAGAGAGAGTGAGGGAGTGCGTTTACCGTTATCATTATAAGCACGCAGCTCCAACTAGCTCTCTTTTCCTCTATCTATCCCCCTTTTTCTTGCAGAACAACAAAACGCGTTTTGTTTACGAAATGCGTGTGGAGAGAAAGGCGACGATGAAAACAGGAACGGCAACAAAGAATTCACATTATAAATATTTATGTGGGAGCCCGCGAGAGTTTCTGCATGCATAATTAAAAAACATAAATTTAGTGGGAAATCACACCACATAACTTGCTTTTTGGGGCGTGGCAAGAAATGCCAAGCAAAACAAAAAGCATGAAAGCCAAATAGACCGCAAATAATATAATCCAAAGTCATGATATCAGATCTACGAAACATTCAGGTTTCAAATTAAAACGTTTTTTTACAAGTCTTCAAAACAATTTTTTTCCTAAGGCAACAGTACGTATTATCACTCATACGTACTGTTGGCTCTGATCATGCGCATAAATTCTTTTAAATCAAATTCGCATAAACTGCTTTTGCTGACTGTTATGCGATAGCCATTTCATGCAATCATATTATGAAATGGGAAAATACGTGTGTGCATTTCTTGTATTCCCTTACACATGAAAGTTTGTCTGCAATGTATAAACAGGGGCTATTTTGATTACATGTATTCAAGAATTCATAAAATGCCTAGCATAAACACAGTACATATATACTTCAAAAAGTTGTAATATTCAAGTTTGGCCAGAACACACATTTTATATGTTCATATCTATTTGTTCAATCATTAAATTCATCACCGATCATCAGATCTTTTTTTCACTAACTGTTAGGTTAAAGTACAGTGGAGTCCAAAACATGGCGAAAAAAACGCGAGAGGGCGAGATAACAGAACTTGTGTCTAATTGATTTGTTTTTTTTTCTTCTTTTGGACCCGTTTTTCGGACCTGCCACAAAAGTACACAACACAACAAAACACAACATTTGGCGCTGCTGTACTTACGCGATTGCCGTTTGCTTGTCTGCGTGACCTTCACGACGAGTTTTGAAAAACATCAACAACGTGCGTGCGTAGTACTACTACGCACAATAACACAGATACACACGCACACCCATGCGGAAAGCTTATCAGCGAAGACGACTAAAAATAAATACGAAAATAAGAAATTCGCGCCAAAACGCAAAAAACATCATCAGCAGGCAGACAAACAGAGAGAGAGAAAAACAGGCTCTCTTTTGAAATTGATATATATGTATGCGTGTGAGTGGGCTGACGTCGTCGTATAAGAGTGACGCTATTGTTGTTGTTTTCTTCTGGTTGAGATTGCGTTTGTCGTTGTGGGTGCGGCTTTTAAAACAACAAAAAGTGGGGAGCCCACTAATACATCGCCAATGAAATCCACGTACAGTCGCAGGCGTGTGCCCAAGTAGTTGATTTTATTATTATATTTTTTATTTTTGTTGCTTTTTTCATGGCGAAACTGCAGCTAGCAACAACAACAATAAAAACCAGAAGGCGTTGGCGCTGATTTAAATTTAATTGAGGCCTCTCAATTAATTGCCTTTGCATTTCTCGTTTATATTTTTCGCAGTTTTGCTGCAATCTCTTGCTGCGAAAATAAAGAAAGATTTTTGGCGCGCGATTGTTATTCAACAGTTTTTATTTTGACGTACAGTTTGTTGTTTAGCTTTTTTCGCTTTGACACACTGCCAAAGACAAACTGGCGACAGCTCTCTCTTTCTCTTCTCTCTTCCTCGCTCTCTGTTTGCCACGATATCAACGGAATATCAATGCAAAGTAAATCAGTCATAAATAACAATAAGCCCAAACTTGGAGGTACAGTCGAACATCTATATACATATCGAAGATAACTATCTCAAAGATTCAATATAAATATCTTACAAATACACTTGCAATTACCTTTCCTTTTCCAAAACTAAACAAATTTTCTTGGTAATTTGTTTGCCTAACTGCAAATTTTCTGAAACTCAAATATATATTTAGAGAAATTATAGGAAACTACAACATCAAAATCACCATAATTATAAGAAATTATCGTAAAATAAGATTCAAAAATTGTTTGAAAAATGTGTCAATAAAGGTGTTCCTTGCAAATACTCAAAATCTTCCAAGATTTTGATGTGTATTTGAGGCACTTTTAGTTTGAAATTCCACTTATACAAGATCAACTGTGACGCAAGAAATAATATTTTGCGAGTTTCTCCTCAAGAGTCAATAACACAATCGGAGCCTTGACATGCGGAATTGATAACGAAGTCAGAGCTCCACAATGAAAGCGAAGTGTGAATAAAGTTCGCAGCGTTTTTGTAGGTTAGGAAACAGACGGCCAAAATGGAATGGGGCAAAATAACAAACGTCTATCAAAACAAAAACCAAAAAACAAGCTTTCGATGCAGAGGAGAGATTCCGAGTTCGTACGACAAAAAATACGTGAAATGAAAAGGGAGCCCTGCCAGCAAAACCGATAAGAAATAACCATTAACGGCACTTAAGCCAGTCCAATAACACACATCAGAGTGCACTTTGTGTGCACAGCTGTTGCAAATATCGATTAGGCTGTTGTCTGGCCGATTAGAACCTTCAGATATTAGGAGATTGGATTAAGGTATTTGGATATTTCGAAAATATAGTCCTCAGTACTATATATGTAAGTATGGAAGGGATGGTCAAGAGATTGAGATTTACATCTACGACTATTTCAAAACGGGAAATATCGAACATCAGATGTACATATGTATATATAATAAAATACATATACTATACTAAAATAAAAATTTGGATACGCACCTGAATGAAACCAAAGAAGAATCGGAAAAAACTACCCAGAATGGAAAACAGAAAAATGACACTAAACGTGACAATAAGAATCAACCCATGAAATAAAAATACGAAATTAGAAAAATCTGGCAATAGGGGTGGTTTTTCGAGAGGTTCATGGGGGTGAAATGAAACCGAGTAGAAGGACGAGCACAAAACAAGGACTGCAAGAGGAAGGAATAACGGATAAAGAAACGAAAATCAGGTGCCTGCTTATTGGACACCGATGAACAAAAACTACATCTTGTAAAAATATATGTAACTGAAGTTACTTTTATATGTAGCCAGGTTTATTTCCATATCTGGTGTGACTAAGCATTTACCTACATTGCCAGTAAAAGTAAAATAATTACGTATTTTGGAAAACAGAAGAAGATTGAAGATTGAAGATTTTAAAAACTGTTTGCTATTTAAACATTTCAGAAAACTACATAACTAAAACTTATAAATCAAAACACCGACTTACGATTCTCATTAATTAAAATTTTTCAGACCAGAAATTTAATTTATTTTCTGTTTTCTGATGTTGGTTTTCTTTAGTAAAATATGTCAAATTTTTTTTGGGAAGCTACCAATTTTTCACGAACAAATAAACCAAAGAGTATTCCTGTTTCGACAACATATTTTTCAGATATTTTAATGGAAGTCTTGAAGGTGGATCATGGGAAAAAATAAACATAAAAATCATGGGAAAAAACGTACGTTTAAGGCCTTGTGGCTGCGTCGCATATGGCTTTTGGCCATGTCTCGTGCTGTTGGTCAAATCGGCACTGCTGTCGCTGCTTTTGTTGTTGTGTGTGCAGTTCTGGAGGATCAGCTGTGTGCTGGCGGAGATCTGGGCGGCGGTGAGGGCCACGCCCCGCGCCACTTGACTGGATTTCGGATTGTACTCGTCATCGGCATCGGCATCGGTACTCGGTATCGCCCGGCTGGTTGGGTATCGCATGCCCCTCACAGCATCGTCCTGTTCCTGCTCGCGACGCTCCTCCTGCAGGATATCGATGCCGTAGCGCTCCTTGACGTACAATCTCTTTGAGCACTGCTCCCGGGCCAAAAGCTGATCGATTTCCGAGTCGCCGGGAGTGCTGCCAAATAGATTCCGGCGGATTCTTGTCGTTTCCGAGGCACTGGGCGGTGGGCGTGGCACTGGTGGGGGAAGCTGAAGGGCTAAACCCATCGGCTGACATAAAATGGCCATGATTTCGGATTTATATATTTTTATTCAAACTTTTTGTATCTTTGTATTTTGTTATTTTTGGTTTGTTTGCAAGTATTCTCGCTTTGTTTCTACTTTCAGCTTTCACTTGAACTTTCACAGAAACACTGCGCGAAATTCACGTACGTATTTTATGCATTGCAATTGCAGTTTCAATTGGTTTTCTACCGCTGACGATATATTTTTGTGTATTTTTTCTGTACTTTAGCGTAGCTCTCCACTTTACGACTTTCACGGGAGAGAGCGAAGAGGGTGTAGAGACAGAAACACAACCGTTCAAAGCGAATTTCGAAAAACGAATGAACACGTAAAACGAAATTGCGCACAGGGAAATTAAACACATAACATTGCTCCAACAGAATGTTAGTTTACATTGGCCTTAACATGCTCACTCGTTCGAAATGAGCCGGCGTACAGTCGTCTTACAGCCAATTCTCTCATGTATTACGCTCTTTGCGTATGTTACGTAGCATGCACGGCATACGAGAGAGAGTGAGAGGTGACGCAAGGTGGAGAGAGGCCAGTGCGGTGACGTCATAGACTGCCTTTGCTTCTCAAATATAAAAATATTGCTTTGTTGAAATAGCTTAAATTAAATATATAAATTTATGTTTTATTATATTTTACATTTTATTTTGTTAAGTTTGTGTTTAAATTTACTTTAACTTTTTTTTTAGCTAATCCAAGCTATATTTTTTATATTTTTATTAAGGGTTTTATAAGTGGTCGGGTTTAAAGGTTAAGAAGGGGCAACTTCGTGATTCTTTTTTAGAATGTGGGCAATTATTAAAAAATTTATTTTTTATGCACTGTATCCATATATTGTCATTTAGGGTATTTAAAAAAAACGTCATAGAGCCTCACATCATCGTGATACACATGATGCATTTAAATTAGTTTTTTAAAACATTTGACTAGAACAATGATATCTTAAAACATGCCAAAGAGTAGTGCCAGTATGGCTACACCTTCCAAGTTTCTATTTCGCCCTAAGAGAGCCCACTAACTACAAAGAGTACTTGCTTTAATGAGAGATCATCTCTACTCTCGGAATAATGTAGTATATCCCCTTCTATGGTAAATACTAGACGGACCTACGATATTGATTATTTACATGTAACAATTATGGAAAGTGAATCTGTTTTTTGTGTGTGCCAATTATAGACCGTGTAAATACAATTAGTTATGCTAGACTCCCGGCTTGTTTTTGTTTGGCCCACACAAATACCAAGCTAAAACGCTAACTAGTTGATGTGTTAGCGCGTTTTGGGGCCCTAACTCAAGGTCGAAACGGACTTCATGCGGCATTAAACGACCTAATTGTCCAGACGTGCCTAGAAAATAATAACTTGCCGCAGGAAAAATAAAATGTTCTGAGGAACAATCTCTATAACAGAGTGGTAAAATATGTAAACAAAACACAAAAAAAAAAAAAAAAAAAACACTTTCGCGCTGGCGGCGGCAATTCAAGCGTAACTTGAACAAACGAAAGTGAAAAGAGTTGAAAAACCGCATTGAAATAGAGGTAGAAGTTGGCAACTACGAGAGTTGCTCGCCGTCGTATCAATGTGGGCCACAACTCATTTCAATTTTAATAGTTGCTGAGTCAGCCGAGAACCGTGAACTGATCTTCGAGAGACTGGAACTGTGGAGCAGCTGGTATGATATTTGGATCGGGCCCTCGGATCGGGTCCTCATCTTCAGGCCCATTTCGTCTGGCTCTTTGACCGCCGAACCGATTAGTCATTTTAAAGAGTGGCCCCGGACAAAGGCCGCGCCCAAAGGATTGCGATTTATTATTGTTTTCAAGCGTACAGTGGTAACTCGTAAAAGGAAAGATGTGAAAAAAAAAATTTAAGTGATTTTAGGGCACTTAAGGGTCCTTGCAAGAAATGATGATAAAGCTTTCTTTTACATACAAATTTATTTTTTTAAATAAATCGGAGTATATGAATTTACTAGCAATCACTGTACATATATTGATTAAGGTAATATAGAATGAATTACTTAAACATAAAATGTATTGAAAGCATTTTGGGGAAGTATTTTATTATAAACTTGAAATAACTTGAAAAATGTATTCAACTTTAACGTAACTTCTTTTTATGTAGACTTTTGGTTATTTATTTAAATCACCAGCAATCAGTGTATATTAATTAGGGTGTTAAGAATACATTTAATTTATAAAAACAAAATACAAAGGAAAGAATTTTTTGGAAGTGTTTCAATACAAACTCAAAATATTATGGAAAATGTATTCAACATTTAAAAACAAAGTACTACGATTTTTACCAAATTTAACCTGGTTTTTGGGTATTATTACCTTCCTTTAATGTTACTTACACACCAGCTATCACTGTATACAGATGATTATTGTTTTCCCTTCCTTATTTGTATTTTTTTTTTTGGCGCGATGTCCAAATTCGGATTGGCAACTACCTGCTTGAGAGGTGAACAGGGGTTGAGGATTCAGGGTTGAGGGTTGAGGGTTGCGACTGAGGATCAAATGGGATCGGGTGGATGTGGATGTGGAAGTGGATCGGTGGCACAGGTCGGAGTGGTGCCAGTAAATCTATGCAAAAACCAACCCTCGCGCCAAAAAATCTATATAAAAATCAGGCACTCGAAAGGGGAACAATGCAGTTTGGAAATGTGTGAAAGTTGCACATAGCCGGATCCCCTCTTTTCCGATTTTTCCTCAAATCTGCCACCCTTTTTTTTTCGAGACTGCGTCATTTCTACGAAATGCGTTTCAGCTATACTTATTTTGATTTCGTAGCTGCGCTGATTTTTCACTGGGCATTATTTGAATGCATGTCAGGGTGTGTCGAGTGTGTGCGTGTGTGCAGGTATAGTATAGTGTCTGAATATTTTTATCTTTTAGATGTTTTCTGGGTACGTGTCTGGGTCTACCGATGGGCTACTTTCCCGCCGTCACTTCCGCCGAACGCAGCTTGTCTGCGGAAAAACTCAAGCTGTTTTTCCTGGCCGGGCTGAAATTAGTTTATGGCCCACGTACCAAGTAACCCCGACCCCGAGAGAATGGAAAGAATGAACGTGAACCCAACGGAACCGATCAATGGAACTGTCGCACGCGCCGCTCATGAGGTTAACTGCTGTTTTAATGTCGCAATACTGCAGGGAGTACCAGATACACCAGATCCAGATACACAGAGGTTGACGTCACGTTCGTCTAATTAATAAATGAGCTCATTAAAGAGCCCAGTCTCAGTCGCAGTCCCCTCCTTTCTTTTTTTTTTTTTTTTTTTTTTTTGATGTGTGCAATGTGCAATATGGATTTTTGTCCGGGTTGCGCGTGGCAACAACAACAACTGCAGATACGGTTGGGTGAAATGTATCTAGCAGATATGCATATGGCACTGCAAAAATTATGCAGATATTTGTTTCATTTAAAGCTGGGTTTTAATATAGTTTCTTGTTTTAATTCGACCAGAGAAAAATCACAAAATGAATACTCTTTATACTCGACAGATGTTAATGAAGCCGAGTTAATGTTTATTACATTTATTAATATTACAATGATTTGACTTATTTCCTCTAAAACAAAAGCTTTCCCTTTTAATAAACATAATAGCATAAATCGTTAATTTAATTGGAATTGAAATAGTATTGATCATAGCATTGGCATTTCCTTTAAAGTGGAAAGGACATATACATGAGTCACAAGGACATGAAATGTGAAAGAAAATGATAAAAAAAATGGTGACTCATGTATTTTAAAAAACAAAGAAAAATGTGGACGACAAGCTCACCTATTTCGTGTCAAGCAATGTTTTGTTTATTTACACTATTTATGCAATAAAAATTTTAATAGTTTGTTTAGAAAACTTAATAAGGTGGGTAATGTTTATAATCAGATTGTAAAGAACATTATGATTTTGATAAATAGATTGTTATTATGTCTAATAACAAAGTAAACAAGTAAATAAATATATGTTCAGATTACAAACCTGACTGGAAGTTAGATAAATACACAAGAACAAATCTAGACCTTTAGTATTGAAAGTGTTGTGCTGAAAGTATCTCCAATTACTTAAGTATCGTGTTTTATTTAATTTTTACAAGGTGTGCAATAAATGTAAAAACTAATAATGGAATACATTTTGGGTTAAGTTAATAAAGTTAAATTGGGAAATTGTCTGATTTTTTCCGTGTATTCCGTGTGTCAGCCTATTTTTAGTGCGTGGATGAGTTTTGAGGGGGTGGTATATATGGATATATGGCTTGGGGATTCAAATTGGAAGTGGGGGCCTTGGGTTTGGTGGCACTGCGATCGCCCTCGTCTTTGGCATGGGCATGCCTCACAAACTGAACGCCGAACTCATGCAGATGGAACCTGTCCCGCTGCAGTTGCTTTCCATTTTGCGTTTTTATATTTTGAGGCATCTGTAAATTTTGCGCCAATTTCTGCGGCTGCTGCTGTGGATGTGGCTATATGGATGTGGCTATGTGGATGTGGATGCGGCTGCCCTCATCATCGGTGCCACACGGACACGGATATGAACACGAATACGAGTGCGAATACCTGCTGCTGGTAATTTTGAGCACACATTTTTTTTGCGCCAAAACCAAAACCTGAATCTGACACAGCCCGGTGCAATCGCCCTCTCCCTTTCCCACTGCACCCGCTGCCCGCTCCACATCTCCCTTTCTCTCTTCCTCTTCCCGTTTCCGCACTTGAAACACATCCCCATTTACACGGTGAAAAAAAGTCAGGACACTATCCGGTTATCATCCTCGGATTTCTATCTTTATGTCGTTATATAAATATTTATTATATATTATTAACCTTAGTAAGCTAAAATTAAGTTTTTATCTGCCAAAGTCCGCTTTTCTGATTTTAAAATCTACTTTTGTACAAAGAATATTATAAGATCAAAGCAAAAACTTTGAAATTTTTTTTATAAATATATTTTTAGAGCTTATTAGTTATTCATTAATTTTGTATTAATTATTTAATATGAAAATAATGTAATCTAAAACTACAGCATATTTTTCTTAATAAAAACATAACATAACATTTTTAACGATAGCACTTTTATTTAAGATTGATATGTTTTAAATCTTAAGTAGTAATTTTTGCCAGTATATGTATGTACATTGCACAATAATAATTTGTTAGAAATTCAGTTTAGAATAAGAATTACCTTGCGAATAATGTCGATCTACCACCTATTTGTATACCAATTTCTCCCAGTGCACTTCCACATCCTCACACGCGTTCGAATATCTCGTTGAGCTGCTCAAGTTGGAACAAGTGCTTTGCTTTTTCCTTTCTCC